CAGGGTTTTTTGTCGGATAACTGTTAACGTGCTTGGAGCTACGTATGAATCACGTGAATATGTCCATCGTTGACACTTCTGTAGCATATGACTAGCTACAAATAGTAATAGTAATATAACCGTAAACATAATATTACAGGATTGCTAATAACATTTCTTATAAGCTGTTTGTAAAGACAGTGAAAGTCATGAGTACATGCAAAAGATTGTAAATAATAATAATAATTTAATTACCTAAGATTGTGAGTTAATTGAGGTATTGTCACTATAGCTTACAAATAGAAGATAATACAAGGGCTAATTATTTATCTAGTGACACAGTAATTCATAAATATATGTAAATATAAATGTATATAAAATGTAAATATACCTACAAAACACGCCTTTGAGAAATGAACTAACAGCAAATGTTCACAAGGGTACCGACAAGTCTGGAAATCTCTACACTTGGATGTGCATGTATGCAGATTCACCTGTTTTCTCCTCCCACTGTCTTTGAAGAAGAAGTAGTCGTAAGATTCAACCTCTATGGTAGCTCACCCTCGCCTTTTATATTTAAGGATCAATTTCCACCAGTCGTATGGCGTCATCCGTCGTAGAAATTGGAGTAGACGTTGTGAGCAGTCATAAGTGGAACATCTTGACTTAGCTGTCATAGCCTCCTGGTATAATCTTGGAGAACTTGGCTTACACCAATTATATACCTTCAACATACTTTTGTACAGACTATTTGATGTTTATAGGTGACGCTTCATTTTGTTGTGCGAACTTTCAACTGTGTTATTGGTAACATTACCCAAAAATAGTACATAGCCACTGAAAGCTGCTGGCCACAAATGTCGTCGACTAATCCAACACCGTTGTATATACTGACTAACGCTTACATCCAGTCTGCTTATAATTCTGAAACACAAATTAAATCTAAAAAATAAGAATATTAAATGCATTACTCTTCTCTCCTTTGGCAGTGAACTAAGCGAAATAAGCAGTTCTTCACAGTCGGATTACTCATCACCGTTTGAACTTTTTATCACGTATACAAAGAACCTACTTCCCTACAAAATGTACAGCAAACGTGAAAAGAACACAGCATAATGTGTGCTTGCCTGTGCGTTAACTTGACTGCAGCAATTTCCGACTGTGCACAGCCCATGATGAAAGTATCTGTGTTTTGGAAGTATCTCCCATCATTTGATGGAATCTGTCTAGAATCCAAACTACCTTACGTTTAAATTCCTTTCTATTTCAAGCAAATTTTACTGGTGGCCCACTGCCTAGGTTATTCGTAACAACAGCTTGGAACAAAGAATACATGCATGTTTACTACTGAATGAATAAACTTACTTCCCTCTATTTGTATTGTATGCGGAGTCGATACCCACAACCTCCGGAAACTGTTTATACAATTCTGATTGCTCATAAGTTGAAAAACAAACTGTAATAGGTGAATTTCGGATGTGTTCATCTGAACAAAACTCTATCGACTTCTCACGGGATTTCAGCTATTGAAAAATGTCATTACGACTCGACAATCCTGAAGTTATTACACATGAAGTTCACTTTACTTTTATTAACGGAAGCTTCCATATTTTTTGAACGTCAATAAGGGTGATTTCCTTGTGAAGTTTCTCCTTAACATGCCTCATTATATAATCAGCTGAGTGTGACTGCTGAAGATGTCATTCCACATTTTCTTCCTCTTCTAATTTTAGTCGTCTACTCCATAGATCATTCTGCGGTGCGTGGAGGGTTATGCACCATATTGAAGGACGTCATTAGGTATTCACTACAATGCAAAAGTACGCGAAATGAAGACAGATAGTTGCCAAATTTAAACCTTAAATACACCTACTAATATAATATACTTTCTCTTACGACTTGTTCCTCAATTTTAGGCCTCGTTTCACACGTTTAATTCCAAAAGTACACTTAAAGGCAATGTACACGTACTTAAACCTACCACCCCCATTGCTTCGCTCTTGATATGGACGTAGTGAGTACAGGACAACTACACTGTTAGCATTAAATGACTTCATCACTCTTTGAAACTCTTCCAATGCATTCTCCTATTTGTCTTAGCTGAAAAAACGCCTTCTCTGCATTACTTCACGAAAACTTTCGGTTACGTCTGTTTTGCTTTCACTCGCACTGATTACCTGTAATGAACTTCTAAAAAGGCTTCGTCCATTAGTATCCATTGCTGCCATAGATACTTAAAGTGAATTCGATAAAACACACAATATTGCACTACACGAGTGAGAATAAATAATAAATAAATAAATAAATTTTTTGCTTTATTCCAAAAACAGTACTAATGATACAGCAAGGAATTTTCAGCATTCAGTACAATATTGCATCTAATTTACTCAAAAACGACAAAAAAATTTAAAAATACACATTACATAATAGTAATAAAACGATTGTTATAGCAGCTACGTAGCAAAATACTGTGTGCCATACGGAGAAAAATATGCATAAAGTACAAAATTGTAGTAATAATAGTAATACCAACTAATATAAAATAGCAGAGTAACGATTTAAACGATAGAAAGTGTGACACCATAAAATACAGAAAGATGAACGATAAAAGGGTCGATTCACTGTGCTAATTACATAGTAACTTGTAAGTTTCACGTCTAACAGAGTCTTCGTCACATAAAGTACGCGCTAAATAGGGTATTGTAGAATTTCTATACTTAGTAGTACGAGCATATAACTTTTTATATTGACTTCTCGTCCTACCTGATGAGATACAAGGGGACAGGTGTGAATAAAGGGGGTGCAGAGGGTCTGACATTATAGCCTTTGCCCATTTCGTACAGGAATTTATATGCCTCTCGACTATAGTATTAGCGAGCTCATGCAGTGGCAGACCACAAGCTCTACTCACAGCATTTAATACTCTTCGTAATATGATATAATCTTTTTTGAGAAGCCCAGGAAAGATTAATGGAGAGCAGTAGAGTACAATAGGTAAAATACAGGAGTTTAAAAATTGCAAAACTAAAGGTTGGTTGATACCTGATTGTCTTAACTTTTTAATGTAGAAGGTAAGACGAAACATTTTCTTAGAGATAGATAAGATATGGGATGACCATGAAAGGTCAGAGGAAAAAACTAATCCAAGGTATTTAATGCTTGATTTGGTTTCAATTTCCGTGCCATCTATGCTACAGGGATCATGCGAGTTAACTAGTTCAAGTAAGTCACGTCGATGCTTGAAAGTAAAGTCAAGTGCCTGACATTTGGAAGGATTTAATATAAGACCATTTGACTTGGACCAGTTGTTGATGTCCAACAGAAAGCTATTAAGTTTGGAGCTGTCAGACTCGGAAGTGATAGGCAGTGATACAGTCAGATCATCTGCATATTTGACAAAGTTAGTTTCGTTTGAATGAGGCAGGTCATGTAGGAAGAAAGAAAAAAGAAAAGGAGAGAGGACAGCACCTTGTGGAACACCGGATTTTGTAAGCGAGGTAGAAGAAGATTTGCCGTTATATACAGTATACTGCATTCTATCAGAAAAATAGGAATGCAACCAACTCTTAGCCCAGGATCCTGTTTGTGTCAACGATAGCTTATTTAACAAAAGGCCCCTAGGTACAGAGTCAAAAGCAGATGTGTAGTCTAAGAAAGCACTACGAACATATTTAGCACCTTTGTCTAAACAAGAGACAACATTGTGATATAAGACAACCGCAGCATCCAAGGTACTTCTACCATGTTTGTATGCAAATTGTTTAGGATCATTAAAAGGTTTCAAAGCGGGTTCAAGACGAAGTAAAAGTAATTTTTCCATCAATTTTAAAAAGGGGGAAGTAATTGCAATAGGCCGAAATTTAATATCAGAACCAGAAGATGGTTTTGGTATAGGGATAATTTTAATGTTTTTCCATGCAAAAGGTAGAACGTTACCGGAAAAAGAAGCATTAAAAATGTTAGTAAGAGGATAACACAAAATATCAGCACAATTCCTGAGGACAATGGCAGGTATGCCGTCAGGACCAAGGCTTTGAGAAGGCTTAAGAGACCGGAGACATTTAAGCACATCAAGGGTATTAAAACCACTAAAGTTATTGTCAATATGATTTGTATCATTTGGAAGGGTATCAACAGAAGAGCGTATGAAAGATTTATTAAGAGTGTCAACATTAAGAGATGGAACAGAAATACATCGCTTACCGTTAGTAATTTCTTTGAAAAGTTTCCATAAATTAGAAGGGGTTTTACATGACAAAAATCTTTGATTATATAAAAAGTTTTGTCTTATTTCCAGTTTTATCAGAATGTTTAACTTTTTTACACCAGGCTTATCATTAGTTTTGAACAACAGTTCTTTATTTCTACGTAGCTTTTTGAGATATGGCGAAGATAAGCGATCAAATCGAATGAATAATGTTTCTTTAGGACAACATATTTCGAAACAGAATTTAAGATAATCGGTAGTGTTTGTGATTGTTTCATCTAATGTTTGTTCTGTAAATAAGTCCCAGTTAGTGTCTTTCAACATGCATCTGAGCTTGTCTAGGTTGTCTTTTGAGTAGCATCTCCGTTGAACTTTACTGTAGAGGTGAGAGAGGACACCTTTGTGTGATTTGGAATATATTTTAGGCAGTACACGTATGATGCAGTGGTCAGAATTAAGTAGAGGAGCACGTTTGCGAGCTTCATATATACCAACATCATTGATGAATACTAGATCCAGTTTTTACCAAGACGGGTGGCAAAGTTGACAATATTGTCATGACCAAGTGATATAAGGAAGGAGCAATCGCTTCCATTGAAGTCGCCAGTTACTATTGATAAAGAGTTCTCGAAGCAAGCTGCAGCAAAAGCGGTGAATTCATCGGCGAACATAGATAAATCCAATATGGTACAGCCAGGAGAGACATAAACATTAGAAATATAAATGAATTTGTATTTTGACAGGTGTTTCGGGCGACATCTCACAGTGATGCAATCAATGAAGTCATTCGAGAATTTGAAACAAACTTTGTTTGAAATGGACCATTTTGAGTGAATAAAAGTTGCAACACCTCCACCACACTTTTTCTTGGAACAAACACGGTCTTGTCGGAAAACATTGAAATTGTTTAGAGACACAATATTGTCATCGTATGAGTCATGGAGCCAGGTTTCTTGCAGAGTGACAATACCAGTATTGTGGTAGGTACTAGAAGACAACAGAGACTGAAAATCCAGAATTTTGTTAGGCAGGGACCGGCAGTTGGTACTAATGATAACTGGAACAGTGGTGTGATGTATGGGTGTAGATTTTAAGGCACGCTGCCAACCTCCATGGTGCTTTTTCTTGAGTTTATTGCAAATATGAAAGTTTTTGGGTTTAAAACGTTTTATAAAATCCCGGGAGTGGATAATACGATTAGAATGCATAATGTGGTATGTAAATACCAATAAAATACGAGTAAATAGATGCAAAATGTACATGGAATGTGGTAGCCCAAAAATGTTCAATTTATTTTTTTTATTTAAAAAAAAGACTTCGGTCAGCCATCAAACGAACATTCTACGCCGCCACATCTCTTTTTCTCACTTGCCGAACATTTTCGATCCCTGTTCCTATGATTAAAGGACGAAATTCTGTGGACTCTACTTCAAACTGTATCTGCGAGTTCACCTACAGCTGCGGTGACACCTATATAGGTAGAACTAACAGAATGTTCCGATTTCGTCGAAAAGATCATGTTCTAAAATGGCCACTAAATCATATCGAAAATCCTAACGCGACTAACCTTAATAGAAATCCAGCACCATCCATTGCAAAACACATATTAATGTCTGGTCACAAAATAAATATTAATGACTGTTTCACAATTATTTCACCACATAACTCTAATTCAAGGTTGGTTATTGAAGGTGATGGAAACACTTTGGATTAATCACATACAGCCTAAACTGTGTGTACAAAAATCAATAGACTTCAATCTTCGTCTACCCTGGACTACATGACCTATCTAAATATGATTGGTTATTAGTATGCATGAGTAATTGTAATGATCTTTATTATTGTTAACCAACCATGTTAGTTGTAAAGCGGTTGTAAAGAAACTACGAAATGATGTCATCATCTCGCGACATTTGTCTTTTTAATGCCTTATCAAACGTCAGAATAGTCAAATTTTACTTTTAGATTAAGAAAGATTGAGCGAAGAAATATTTACTTTTCAATTAGATCCTCATCTCACTCTGGCTCTACTCAAATATAAACGTGTAGCATTTTAATTACAATACACAACAATTTACCAATCAAGTGGTGGTATGTTTGTTAACAATAATTAGTCAGTGTCAAAATGTCAATGGGTTGATAATTAATGAAGAAAATCAATACACACAATTAGATATGATAGAGAAGATTTGTAGCTCAGGTGGATAATTTTGATGTGGTTTTGTTCTCTGAGCTGGATAGTTAGTTTGCGAAGCTTTCATCACCTTACTGGGTGACATCTTCAGCGCATACTTCAAAACCACATCAAAATACACACAATTAAAAGGTAGAAATGGTTGGAATAAATTAATTTTACAAGGATAACACGTAAATTAAAGATGAAGTGGTCAAAATAAATAAAATAATTTGGACAATTATAATTTTTATAAGTTTTAAAGGTTTAAGGAGAGGGGTGGGCAAAGTACTCCTGTTTATGCATTCATGTAACGATGGCCAAGGTAATGAAAGTGCCTGTACAAATTTTTTCTGAACATATAGGCTTAGCTTCTTCAGGTGAATTTCCGATTGCTTCAGCCGTCTGTAGAAGACGAACTCGCAGAGCAAAATTAAGATTAGTCAGAATGCGATAAATAATTTTAAATGCTGTATTAACATCAATCTTATGCTCAGTATCAACGAGGTGGGCTAAAATAGAACCTACGAATAGATCTTGTTTGTCCTGCCTTGCTTAATCACGTTGGATGATGTTCGAAAATACGAGGATGAACCTGCCTATTTGTACGCCTAATGTAGCTGGCTCTGCAGCTGCAGTCAAACTGGTAGATACACATAGAAGAGGCAAATTTAGGTAATTTATCCTTATTTTCGAAAACAGAATAGGGGTGGTTGTGAAGAGACAACGTATCTCTGCTGCATAATTAGCTCTTTTAACTGCATTCTACAGGTGCTGTTATTATTTCGCTGATGTTATCACCAAAGAACTGCAATTTTATGAACATTGGTTTTTTTCGGAACTGTAGCCATACTGACTCTCCTTGGTGCTGAATTTATATTTTTCTCAATGAATTTATCTGGATAACCATATTTTCTAAGTAATTCTCTAATCCTCTTAAGCTCCTCATTGAGGCAGTCTTCTGAACAGATTAACCTAGCTCTATGAACCAGACACTTTACCAGGTTACGTTTATATTTCAAAGGTACAAAACTCAAAAAATGAGTTTACTGATCTGTTGTTGTTGTAGGTTTCCTATACACACTCCTTCTTAGTGTGCCATCTTTTTTCCTTGCCATGAAGACGTTTAGGAATGAGATACTGTCATTACTTTCTTTCTCTATGGTGAAGTTTATTGCTGAATGTGCATCATTAAACTTGTCAAAGATGTTCATTGCATCATTCTCATCTTTCATAACCAGAAATGTATCATCCATATATCGGCAGTAGAAATCCATGTCATTCATCACAGTTGTTTTGCAAACCACGCATAACATAACCACACAAAAGCCTACACGACAGCATCTATCTACGGCAAACCAAATATCCAAATGACCGTCACTGTTCAAGTCAATAAAAGACAAGAAAACCAGAAGCGAGGTAAATTTAAAACACGATAGCGTCTATCCTCATCTGTGATTATTTATCCGCTGCGCAAAACAGCACATACACAGATATAACAGGAGAGATAAAGAGAGGAAGTGAGTAAGTCCGGTAGATTAGTATCGTCTTTAGTCTATATAAATTCGTAGACAAAATAAATGTTAACATCAAGGACATAACCATGATATCTCTGAACATAACATCGTTATTCACAAATGTACCTCTAATAGAAACAGTCGACTACATATATGAACAAGTGGATAACCAGTTGATGAACATTAGCATCCGTACTGAAATCCTAAAAGAATTGTTTTTAAGATGTACCATGAATGTAAACTTCAAATTTGACGACACGCTTTACAGGCAAGTGGACGGGGTGGCGATGGGCTCCTCCTTGGCTCCCATTCCGGCAGATTTCTTCCTAAGTAAGCAGGAAAATGGACCCTTGAACAACCTTATCAGTAAGCTGTCATTTTATTGCCGATATATGGATGATACCTTCATTCTTTGTGATAATGATTCCGATAGGAGTACAATAATTACTGAATTCAATGAAATTCACGTGCGAAGAGGAATCTCAAGACAGAATTGCCTTCATGGTTGTCTTCCTTACAAGGAAACCAGAAGGTAGCATAAAAGAAATTTGCATAGAAAAAGTACTTGAACAGGACAATATACACATTTTCACAACTTCATTCCTATCAAGTACAAAAAGATTTAGTGAAGATCCTCATCCACAGAGTTAGTTAGAGCTATATGCTCAGAAGAAGTAATTGAAGATGAATTAAGCATTGTATATGATACTTTGATCGAAAATAGCTATCCTGAAAAATTTTATCAAGAAACACGTGACAAAGAAAGAGGAAAAGGATCACTCACTATCTGTAAATAATAAGTCTCTTTATATACGACTACAATTCAAGGGTGATATACCAAATGAGATAATTAAGAAGAGATTAAGAAAAATCGTTCAAAGAACTTGTAATCCTGGCGAACTACAGATGGTGATTCCTCAACTGAAAGATGAAGTATCTAGACTAGCCACTTCTAAGTGTATCTACCAATTCAACTGCGTTTGTGGAGCGAGTTATATTGGCCGTTGCTCCAGGAACTTGATTTTTCGTGCTTGCTCGAGAACATCTTCCACTATGGCTAGGTAAAGGTGTAGTAAAAACTATTAACAGTTCGATATTGGACTATCTGTGCAAACCGGCCACAAAGCCAGCCAGCGTGGAAGAGTCCTTCTCTATAATCTACTGGGTGCGTAATAAATTATCAAAAGCATTGAAGCACCGCATGCTTTAAACAACAGAGGCTATTGCGATTCGCCTCAAACAACCAGCGCTCTGTGTTCAAAAGAAGCAAGTACAGCTCCTACTACTGCCCTGGCCAGCCTTCAGTAGAGACTATAAATTCAGGAATTTTTATTATTGTATTTCCTAATTTTTCTGACATTCAGTTTATTGTTATGTTGATGCTGTTGAACTGTCATCTATATGATATTATTGATTCGATGTTATTTAAACAACATTAATGTTGTTCATAACACTTATTCATTCATTCACTATAATGGATGGATATATAACTGTACAGCCTTATGATGAAGTTATCGAAAAGAGTACTCTTTGTTCAGTATCCATTCTCTTAAAAAAAATATAAAAGACGCTTTAGAGATAATGTTAAGGCATAATGCATTGCCTGTAGTTTGTACAAATTATACAAGCATAAATTCATAAAGCTTCTGTCTCTAGGATCTACGCATTCTGTTTCTGTTTTTAACAATTTCAGAACTAGTCACCTGTCCATGAGTTAACTACACCATTAATTAATTAAGGATTTATTACTGATTATGATTATTATTTTGTAAGTGGTGGTTCTCTCTAAGAAGTGATAATAAAACTATAAAGAGAGACCTTACAACACTGATTTATATGACGTTACACATTTCAGCCAATCACATTTCAGTTTTGACTTACATCGAAAAATAATCGATATTGCATCGATTATTAACAAATAGATATTAGATACACCATTTAAAATATGAACAAATGAGAAAATTTATTAAGAGAGAGCGAAGAAATTAGAATTTTTTTGTTTTTTCCTTTGTTTACTGTTTGTACTTTATAGCATTTTTTCGTTGTCAAAACAAACAGATAAACACAACAGCTCAGCTGAAATTTATCTTTCGATATGAATGAATTTTCCGTTCACAGCGAAAAATGCTAAAATTGTTACCTTCCACGATTGATACCAAAGACATGCTGGTTAATGATAATGGCGAGAACAATGGCGACAACAACCACAATAACAACGATAACCAGGATTATGCATTCTTATCGAATCTTTTTATTCGACCTCATGGATATAAACACTTTCTACCGGTTAGATATTCTAAGACAACAACTTCTAAATGGTTCGACAATATCCTAAGGCAACTGGAGAAGAATAAATATCTTCAATGGACTATAATTTCATTATCAGACTATGATACTTGTATAGGCTTACAACTGATTCAATGGAATAATGACATCTTAAGACTGACTTGTCAGATAGCCCCAGTTGTACAGCAGATGAACTTGTCAAATCTGAAGCTGACCAGCCTACCATTTGATTTGTTGAGTCAGTTTTCTACACGTTTATTTTCACTGAATTTAAGCTTTAATCAAATTGAAATGAGTATTTTTAAAGATTTGAAATCAGTGTATTTACGGAGAAAGCGACAAAAACGCGAGGATGCTAAAGTCAGGCAGGACGACTGTTGGATTCAAATACTGAATGAATTACACTTGGATCATAATAAACTAGAAGATGTAATCACTGAAGATGCCGTGCATTATATGACTGGTTTGAAAAGGTTCTATATTCAAAATAATGCTATAACGAGTTTGAGAGGTTTACACAGCCTTATACAGTTACGTGTCATCAGAGCTGATTTCAATAAAATCACTAATATTAATGATAGTGTACTCAGCTTGAAAAAGATTGAATACGCCTATCTGTCACATAATCGTATCACACAACCAATCTCTGGTATTCGTTTAAAAGGCTTAAATCATCTTCGAGTTATTGATTTATCCTATAATGGTTTATCTTTTCTACCAGCAGTTATCTTCAACCTGCCTTGCTTACAAACACTGAAAGTTGATCATAATAATCTGTACAGTCTGCCTACAATTCGATCAAATTCAAGAATTGCAAAAGAATTAATAGAATCGATTGATCTATCGTATAATCAAATTAATGCAATATCTGATGGACTGCTTAGAATAACAAAACACTTAGATTTGAGTAGAAATAAGCTGAGAATATTTCCTGCCTCACTGCTTAAAATGATTGCAAATATGACAAGGATTAGAAATGCAAAACCCTCAGAAATTATTCAACTTGATTTAACCGACAATCCTATGGTATGGCCCCCGTCTAATATTGTTGAAGCTGGTATTAACGCTATGATCGAGTACTATTTAGAATCAAAAACTGAGATACAATCATATTATGGCATAAAGACAATGTTTTTAGGTGCTAAAAATTCTGGGAAAACCAGCCTGGCTATGAGTATCCTCGACAGACAAACACGTATGACGGAGAGCATAGAAGAGATAACCTACAGTATTGATTCTTATATGATACATTATGATGCTCTAGAGCTGACACCAAAAGTATGCAAAAGTCAGTCAGATAATGAAACACTGACAAAGTCACAAACAATGAACACTCGTCCAACAACTATAACTTTATGGGATTGTTCTGGACATATGGCTTATACACCATTGATCTCTTTTTTCACTTCCTTATCAACTGTCGTTACAATTCTAGTCGATATTACAAAGTTTCAGTATAATTCATCTGGTGCAGACAATATAAACAGTATTAAAAGCTCTGAGAGTTACTTTTACAAGTCAATTGGTATCTGGCTTGACCTTGTTATGTATCGATTGAACTTTCTCAAGGTTATTCTACTCGCGACTAAATGTGATCTGATATCCTCTGAAACAGAATTAGACCAACGAATGAAACAGTTATACAGTCAAACATCGAATTATTTAAAAACACGACATTTTTGGTTAAAAGATCAAATTACCCGCATAGAATCATCGATTCAAATATCACAGGCTACTTCACATTACTATGAACACTTAAATAATATTTATGAAAATGCCTACATTTCCATTTATCCTAATGTGATCCCAATCAATTTAAAAAAGCCTTCAAATCCCGCGCTAATCAATTTCGATCAATTATGCTTTACACTGTTTGATTTTGTGATTAAAACGCCTACGCATTTACCTGTTTGTTTAGCTGCATTACCACATATATGGTCTGATATTGAAATGTATTTAGAGGATATAAAGCATAATTATAATTCAAATTTAAACAAGCTTAATAATGAAGTGAATGCATGCATTCTGCCTAAAGCATATTTTAGTCAATTATTACAAAATAAATTTAATTTGAATGCCATAAATTTAAAACAATTACTTATTTATTTGAATAATACAGGGAGAATATTAATTCCTGATGCTTTTTTATCGAAAGAAGAGGAGAAATATTACACTACAATGATGAAATCATTTACTCGACCGTATCCAAAGTCCTATGTGATAATCGATTGTGATTTATTTCTTGAATCGGTTAAATATTTAATCCATCCTAATCTCCTGTCTATCATTGATACAACAATTCAACGTAATAATAATAATAATAAAGCACAGTATAAAGATCCTTGTGTACCTGAAACATTTCATAAAGAATTACTTAGACACTTTTATTCAGCTACACGACAAGGTGCAATCAGTCGATTAGCACAAAGTTGTTCAGAGTTGAATAAAGGTTCAGGGATTGTAAGCGCTTATTTATGGATTGCATTAGTGGAGTATAATAATTTATATGTGACAAAAAATAATCGTGATATTGGAAAGTCATATGTTGAAATATTGTGGAGATGGTTGGAGTTGGCTTATCCAGTACCTGAACCAGAATTGTTTGCAAATTTTGACTCTGACTTGACACGAACTGATATATCACCAGATGGGATGCAATCACCAACATGGAAATTCAAGTATGTAAGTGCAATTTTTTTTTGCCTGTATCGTGGATTTTAAAAGTTTTGTTTCGTATTATTTTGATTTTGAGTGGAATATACGTAGAGAAGCCTTCGAAAGAGTCGATCGATAGGTGATTTGGCAACTACTTCGCTACTACTGGGTGCCACCGACAATTATACATCTCGTCCAACAGTTATACGACAATGCTGCCTGCCAAGTAATCCACAACGGGAAACTTACGGAAGCCTTCGAAGTGAGGACGGGAGTGAGGCAGGGCTGTCTATTATCGCCAGTGATCTTCCTGATTGCAGTAGATTGGATAATACGACAGACAACGGGCAATGAGGAAACAGGCATAAAATGGACTCACACAAAATACTTGAAGGATCTGGACTTCGCCGATGATATATGTCTGATTTCCCACAAACTGGAAGATATACAAGTGAAAAGCAACAAGTTGACAGAAGAAGCATCACAGATAGGACTTCACCTCAGGTGAACATAGGTAAAACAGAGGTGGTGAAGATTCCTGGCCAACACCAACAGGAACAACATCAACAGACAACAATCAGCCAGCATAAATGGGAGGAACCTGAAAGAAACAACCTCCTTTACCTACCCACCTACCTACCTACCTACCTACCTACCTACCTACATACCTACCTGGGAAGCTTCGTTTCAACTACAGGCGAACAGAACTGACGAGGATATCAAAGCCAGAATCGGAAAAGCAAGACAAGCTTTCATTACTCTCAAGTCTGTGAGGAGGTCAACAGCACTCAGCATGAAAGATAACAACCGGATTTTCAACTCTAATGTGACGTCAGTCAGTACTACTCACTATACGGATCAGAGACTTAACGCGTCAAAAAGAGCATCTCAAACAAACTACAGACCTCCATCAACAGCTAGCTGTCTTTGCTCAATACCACTTAAGATCAGATGGCCGGCCAGAAAAGATCAGCAACAGGTTGAGATCTCTGTTAATGAGCGAATCAACCAGGAACCGATTGTGAAACAAATAGGCAGGAAGAAATGGAGATGGATTGGCTGGCCATAATCTGAGAAAACAAACCATCAAGTGACATCACTAGACAATCCATTGGTCGAGTGGAACCCGAAAGCGAAGCGGCGAGTTGGTCGTCAGTGCGATGGTGGGGTGACTTGGAGGAGATCATGTGAAGAGGAGATGAAAGCATGTGGGCAGACGGAGCGAGGTGAAAACTCTGGCAGAAAACCGAACGCAATGGATACGTTTGGCTGAAGGCCTATGTTCCTCTAGGAATTAAAGGATATAATAATAATAAAAATGCGCAGAGTGTGATATGTTGTTGTGTTGTGAATACAGGAAACCAATCTTTTTGTTCTACTGTATTGCTGACCAAAAAATCCTTGAATCATGCACAGGACAAAATTATTCCGATGATAATCGAAAGACATTTATTTAACATTGATAACGTACTATACTATGTATTATTATTCCCTTGCGTTCCCAATTAAACAACACATCTCGACTTTATTCTATTTTCGGCCGTAGTCTTCAGCTGGCTAGCGACACGTTTGCCCAGACTCTTTCGTTTCTTCCTAACACGATCTCCTCCATGTCACCTTCATACTGACGACCCACTCGTCACTTCCCATTTGGATTCCACTTGATGGTCTCCTCAGTGTACGCGCTATCCATCTCCACTTTCCACTACACATTTGTTGAGCAATCGGCTCTTGGTCAGTTTGTTCCCAGAGTTTCTTTTTACCAATTCTTTCTGAATGGCCATTTGATCTTCGGTATGGAGCCAGCGAAGGTAGTTGTTGATAAAAGTATGCAGTAGCCTGTTGGAAATCCTTGTTGTGAAACGCTGGCAGAGTTCCTGACCCGTATAGAAGAAGCTACCGACTTGACATTGGTGTTGAAAATGCGAATCTTGTTCCTTATGTTGACTGCAGGAGATTTCCTAATTGGTTTCAGGTTAATGAAGGCGTGTCTTGACTTTCCAATTCTGACTCTGTTATCTTCATTCGTTCCGACAGCCTGTGGAAGTAAGTAAGCTCTGTTTAATCTCTCGTGTCGATGGTGATTGGTGATGGTTTTTGTTGCTTGGTTATCTTCATCACCTCCGTCTTCTCTATGTTCACCAGCAGTCCTGTCTCCGCTGCTGCCTTCTTCAACCAGTTTGTTGGTTTTCGCCAGCCAGTATTCGAGTTTTTTTTATAAAATCTGGTGGGTAGCTCTATTCACTGTTAATGTTTTCTCTATTTCTTTGGTTTCATTATTTAAATTTTCTGGCTTACTGATTAGTTTCATGATTCAGCTAAATAGACGCTTCACTAAACCTATATTTATCGATTTTGTATGAGACGAATTAAAGTCTAAGTATTTATTAAAATGTATCGGTTTTCTCTAAGTGCTAGAATCTAACTCGCCATATCTTGTTTTCGCTGATTTTACAGTCCAGTGTAGCTAACTCATTCTGTTGTTGGAACACCGCCACAGGTATTGCAGGCCAACGATCTTTGTGCTTTTTGATATTAAGGCTGCCTTCGATTCGTTGGACAGAACTGTGCTCTGGAACTGTCTGTTAGAGAGGGGTGTACCTAAGAAATTTGTTAACATCTTGAAAGCCCTAAACAGAAACACATCGGTTAGAGTGAGGGCATACAACCAACTATCATCACTGTTCGCGATCAACAGTGGGGTTAGACAGGGTTGCCCGATCTCTCCATTTCTCTTTAACTTTACCATCAATGATATTCTGAAGTCAGCTCTGAAGGATGTGCGTGAAGGTGGTGTAGATCTGCTACCTGGAGATAGACTTTTCGACCTCGAGTATGCAGACGATATTGTCTTACTATGTGATAGCATGCAGGCTGCCCAAATCGCACTTAATCAGTTGGTGATCAGTGTCTGTAAGTATGGTATGTGCTTTACGCCGTCTAAGTGCAAAGTACTGTTACAAGATTGGCAGGAGCCTGTACCTGCACTCACTTTTGCAGGTGAACTGCTTGAAGTTGTTGATAAGTTCGTGTATCTGGGTAGTTGCGTGAGTGCTGCTGAATGTGTGACGGATGAGATTTCCAACCGTATAATGAAGGCTAGGGTGGCATACATCAACTGGAGCCACCTATGGCGTCGTCGCGATGTAAGCCTGGCTGTAAAAGGTCGGGTACAATGCTTCGGTGCGGGCTGCCCTGCTCTACGTCTGTGAAACCTGGCCTCTCCGAGCTGAGGATGTGCGGAGACTCTGCGCGTTCGATCATCGCTGTCTCCGCAGGATTGCTTGAGTCCAATGGCATCATCGCGTCAGTAATTCTGAGGTTCGGCATCGTGTGTTTGAGCACAGTGGAGATCACCATTGATTGAGTGTCGTCATCTGGAAACACCGCCTCCGGTGGCTTGGACATGTGCTGCGAATGTCATCCCAGAGGCTTCCGTACAGGTCTCTGTCCGCTAGCCACGGGACGGGATGGAAAAGGCGGAGAGGTGATCAGTTCATGACGTGGCGTCATGGGATGAAGGATTTTTGTGCTAGATTAGCATCGGTTGGTGTGTCACGTCTCTCTGGTTGGGGTCCGAGAGATAGCTCAAATCGATGGCTCGAAACGTTATCGGATATGGCCAAGGATCGTAATCAATGGCGAACGTGTTGCAATTTCCTTCTTTCTTCTCTTCCCGATGATAGTTCACGAATACTGTTTGAACCTGTTAAGCATGACTGTTTTCCTTTCAGATAAAGTTCTTTATCCGTTCTCTACTTAGATTTTTTTTTACTTTTGATCGATGTCGTTTTATTATTATTGTGTAGCGCATCTTTCTTGATGCCATATTGCACCAAATTTTTTTCTGCGATTAAATAAATAATATAAATAAAAAACTCATTCTGTTCATCATTTTCTTACTTATAATTGAACTGGATTGCATCTACTATTGAGTTCATTTGTATGAAGAACTAAGGGATATCCTCAGATTTTAATACAATGGATGTGTTTTCTACATGTTCCACATCATAACTTACGAGCAGGACTGTGATTGTGCACCAGTGAATAGTGCCTCACAAAACCTAAATAACTAGATACAAGAAATGGAAGAAGATCAAAACAGCTCACAAGAAGGGGATAAATAGTAGTGGAACGATTGACCATATCATAAATAGGCAATACTTTAAGGCATTTACAGTTTTAATATATAAGGATGGGACATTTTAAATCTTACGTAGGATTCCTAGTAAAGCAGGCATTTAAACCTACAAACTCACTCAGCGACAAATTCTGTAGACTAAAGGACCTTATTAACCCAGTTTAATTAAATTAATGTAGTCTACAGAATGTCTTGTAGTAACTGTGGGGCCAGTTACAAACCAGTAGATCAGGGTTAGTCAGATTATCAGAACATAAGACTTTGGACTAAGTATAGAATGGTTAACTTCACGAAGACAAACAGTTTAGAGGAGAACTGAGAAGTTGCAATGCATCCATTAAGAAGCAATCACATTGAATGTAGGGGGGGGACAGAGCTACAATTCTGAAAAGTAACATAGGCAGGTGGTGAGAGAGGTTGATCACCAAATTTTTGTTCGTCAAGTATTCATCACCTAACACATGCAATAGAGATGATGCTACGCCAGTGAGAGAGATGTGGAAAATATTTGTACCAGTAAGAGCAAATAATGAGAAATAATGGAGTTATATAAATGAGGTCAGTTATTCTATACGGATCAGAAACTTGTCGGGCGGGTCACAAAGAATATTTCCAGCAGGCTATTTCAGACCTTTATCAACAACTGTCTCCACTCTATACTGAAGATCAGATGGCCGGAAAGAATCACCAACAAGAAACTATGGCTGGGGAGAAACAAAACAAAAACCAATTGTCTAACAAATATGCAGGAGAAAGTGGAGGTGGATTGGACACTCGCTGAGGAGGCCACTGGGTGACATCGCGCGCGCGTCAGGCCATTGCTCGAGTGAAACCCGAAAGGGAATCGGCGAGTGGGTCATCAGTGCAAGGGTGGGTTACATGGAGGACATCGCGTGGAAAGGAGTTGAAACAGTATGGACTAACATAGATGCAGGTGAAAAGTACAGCAGAAGACAGAAGCAAGTGGAGACGTGCAGTTGAAGCCTTATGTTCCACTAGGAACTCAAGGGAACAATTATAATAATAAATGAAGTTGGATAATTATGTGAATGCTTTGATATGATCGTGAGAAATAAATTGTGCTCGAAACGTCATTAGTAAATACTACTGTGTTACTGTGCTCCTTTAGCAAATAAATTTATTCTATGATGAAAAAGATTTGTTGTGCTTCGCTGATGAATTCAAAAGGCCTTTGAACTAATCATCACCTGCAAGTCGTTACAGAAATACCACCAACAGTATGGACAGAGTTGCCAACAGAAGTAGAAGTCCCAAATGAGACCAAGCTAATGAAATCCAGGAAGGAGGCAGGACCAGACGGGATTCTCCCCGAAGCACTGAAAATGGACCCAGAAACTTAGGCAGATATGCTGACGCAATTATTGCAGTAGGTTTGGAAGGAAAACTACCTATTGATTGGAAAAAAGGCTACTTTTGTCAGACTTCCAAAGAAGGGCAACTTAGACCTCTGCAAGAAATGACACGAAATCATGATCTTATCCACACCAAGTGTGCGTCGGTGGCACAGTGGTTAGGACTCTCGCCGACCATGCACATGGTCCGGGGTTCGATCCCCTGCCGACGCACATCTGATATCTATGGTTGGCCTGCTAAATTTGGGCTACCGATTTCCATGCTGAAAATTCCATACTTGTACCAAAAATACAGAGTGGGATCAAACTGTAATCAAAAATAAATAAATTAAAGTAAAATACTAAGTCGTATGATCCTGAAGAGACTAAAAGTCTTACTGGATTCAGAATTCCGACAAGAACAAGTCAGATTTAGGAAGGAGAAATCATATGCGGATCAAATAAAGCAGACTATAGCAGTAAAGAATCTACCTCAATTTTATTATCTTTTAAAATGCCTTCGACAGTATTGACCACGAAGTAATTTGGAAACTGTTTAAACACTAGGGAGTGTGCCATATCCTTATCAACCACATTCAACAGCTATTTGACATTGCTCCATGTGAAGTGATCCACAATGGAAAATTCACCGACGTCTTTGAAGTGAAGACAGAATGGAGTGAGGGAACATGGGGGAAAAAAGGTGATGGAAATAAACAACCAACAAGAATCACCAATCTTTATCAAAGGAAAAAAACTTGAAAGAGGTTACTTCATTCACTTATCTGGCCAGGCAGCGTTGTTTCAACTACTGGCTAAAGCACGTATGCGAAAATCAAGGACGGCCAGGATTGGAAAGGCAAGATAAACCTTCATCATTCTGAAATCAATTTGGAAGTCTTCCTTCCTCACTTATCAAAAACAAACAAAATTCGAATTTTGGACGCAAGTGTTAAGCCATTTCTTATATATTTTCCAGAAAATTGGAACGTCGCGAAAAGGATTCCTGACAGCCTGCTATGGACTTTTATCAACAGCTGCTCTTGATGACTGCATACTGAATATCAAATAGTCAGGAAGACTTAACAACAAGAAATTCTGGAGGTGAACCAATCGAGAACCTATCGCTAAAGAAATATCCCGAAGAAATTGGAGACGAATTCGATACACGTTGATGAGACTGTTGAGTAACATTACGTGCCAAGCCATTGCACAAGTGGAACCCGATTAGTAAAGCAGTTGAGGATTTGCCCGACGGTGACATGAAAGAGATCGTGGGCAGAGGAGATGAAAGCTTCTGGGCATACATGGGGCCAGCTGAAAAGGACTGCAGAGATCAAGACAAAGTGGAGACGTGCTGCTCAAGCCCTCCCTATGTTCTACTCGGAACCCTACGGAATAATAATGACCATTCAGTTTTATTGGGCTGCTAATTATTGGTAATTTTGACAAAAGTGTGCATTACCTAGAGCGCTTCGTGGAGACCAATAAAGATTCATGGATAACTGTTTCATTCATATCATGCAAACATAAAAGCATTCCTGGTATACTTTCAAGTGAGTACAACTAATAATCCTTTCAGTGATGTCACTGACCATATTAAATGTTACGTATTAGTTTGTTCATTAGATGTGTCACACAGTGAAATAGTATTATTATTTACTGGATGACAAGGTTTAGAACACACTTTATTATTGTTCATAATCATATCGTCAATTATGATAATCACACGACTTCGAAACTTGAGTTTTGTAGTTTTCTTTGTTCTCCTCCTATTTGTCGTCGTAGGGGTAGTAGAATTTTCCAGATATTTGGATAGACAGCCAATGAATCATTCCTATTTCATGTATTTGCAGTTGATTCGATAAATAAGGCCTCAGTCAGTTATCAATCTCTTCCCCCACCCAGCTGTGACATTAGATTTTAAAACTGTCATCTTATCCCATCCTACTGTATGGTTGTGTGTGACTGCATGTAGTGAGTGCTAAAGCTGAACTATTATCTAGATTTCTTATCTTATTTGGGCCAACCAATCTAGATTTCGCTGCTAGGTTCCTATGCACGGCGAGTCTATCTGCACCTGTTCTACCACTCTAACCTAAGAATTTTCCTAACAATCATTGCAGAGTATTAGATGAAATAAGTTGTTTTGTTTTAAAGGCTCCACAGGATTGATCCTTCAACCGACAAAGCTTGTTTCTAATTGAGTTTGTGGTTGGTTTGAATGCCAGCTACTTTATTCCTGCCTTATTAAGAATTCCGCGTAAGGACTCCGAGGTTCCTTCCTTGTATGAAATTACTACTGGTGATTTAGATTCCTTATTGTTGGTGTCGTCATTACTATTATTATTATTATTACTATTATTATCAATATTATTGTTATCATTATTATTATTATCATCTCTATCGCTACTATCATCATTTATTTTTACATTTCCTTACATATTTCCTGACTAATTTATCCGGGTAATCATTAAGCTTCAAGGCTTCTATAATATGTGTCACTTCCTGTCTTAGATTTTTCTTGGTACTACTTAGTTTTTGTGCTCTGTCACTTAAACATTTCACCAGTTCTATTTTTACTGACATAGGATGGAATGATCGGAAGTCCAAATATCTGTTTGAATGTGTGAGTTTCCTGTAAACACTAGTCTTTACCTTCCCATCTTCTTTCCTTTTTACGTTGCAATCTAACATTGGAAGCTCCCATCACCCTTCTAGGTGACATCTTCAGCGTATACTTCAAACTGAAGACAGGAAGTGATACACATAAAAGAAGCCTTGAAACTTAATAATTACCCGGACAAATGTGCCAAGAAAATATGTAAAAAAAATGTAAAAATAGAATAAATAATGATAGTATCGATAGTGATGCTTGTATTGTCAGTGAACTCTATGCTGAGTACTTTTCCATTTTTTCTTAATTTGTTCAGTTTCCATCTCCTAAAGAATTGGCTTTAGCTTGTGGCATTATATCCTACAACGATCAGTCATCAGAATTACATGAAAATCAATCAGATACAGATCACAGTGACGATATGGATACTCGTCAGTCACCTACAAATCATCAAATTCAAGAGATGATTTGTTCAGAACAATTACCAGCTTTATGCTTTCCATGCCTAATTCCCCAGAACTGTACCACTCCAATGGATGAAATGAGCATTAATCTATGGGAGATGGTTTGTCGGGTTGGACCAAGGCCAGTTATCTTTGTATATCGTTTTTCTTATGGTATACCTCAAGAATTATTTGATAAGGCTACAGTACGCTTGAATTGGCCAGAATACTTTAAAGTAAGTTATTGTATAATTACAAGAGCTTCACACAGTTTTACTGCAGATATTCACCCCCCCTATGGTAAAGTTGAAATAAGCAAAAAATAGAAAAAAACAAGAGTAGTTATTGCATTTCTGTAAATTTAGGTGAAGCACTTCACCTGAACACTCTATTTTGTAATTATTCCTTTGACTTCCCAGTAGATTACAGGATTTCAAGCTGTGAGCTTTGAAGTTTAAGTTGCAGCGGTGTTATACGGGTCGGGGTTACTAGCCGTATGCCCAATCTTCCCTCTTCACTGAACTTATGATCGGCTAAATGAGGTTTGGGAGTGCGTTGGCCAGGGACTGAAACCCAGACCACGTCAGGTGTGGTTACCAAACATTCAACTGCAGAACCACTGTCCCACTGAATACTCTGTATAATTTATAGCTGATGACATAGAAATGTTATCTGTTTAGATTTCAACACGAAGCGTTTTCGGTTGCAGAATCATTTAAAACTGAGGAGCATTGGGCAGGTGTTGTAGCTTAAACTATAAAGCACCACCTGTCATCGACCCTATCAGAGATAGAGTTCAGGATCTTTAAGTCATGAAGCCAACCCGCTGACCATTCAACCATTCGTTTACAATTTAATGATCGGTAAATTCTAAATTCTATCAATTTGTCTATCAATATTACCACGGCGATCTAATTTTCGAGGGCTAATTTCTTGCTGTCATCATTCCCATGTTAACTGTGATATAATTTTGATACAATATGGCGTTTAAGCGTGGAGTAAATAGGGTATTTACGTCGGTAATAATATCTAGAAAGTTCAACGAAAAGACTCCTTTTAACAACGAATTTATTATCAAGCTGTACAATCATGTATATAAATGATCTTTAAGGAATTATATTAGGTGAGGGAATTGAATCATAGGTGTGAATGCATAAAATAATAATAGTAGTATTATGAAATGCAATTAAAACTAAAATGTTTGTGATTATACTCATAGTTAAATGTCAAGTGGCAAAGCAAATTAATGTCATATATAGAATAATTCATAGGATGGATAGAACTTGAAAAAGGGTGTGCAATTATAGGATTAGTAGACAAATCGAGTAAAACTAATAAAAAACGTTACGTAGTATTGTGTGAAATTTGATAACATAGAATTTCATCGTTGCAAAACAGAACTGATTTAGAATGACAAGTGGAACAAGTGAAATAATAGTGGTGACAGTTCAAAGGGAGAATAGTAATAGTTAAGTTTTGGTTTTGTAGGGATTTTGTTTGATTGCATGTAGAATTTCATCATGAGCTGACATCAGTAAGAGAATTACTGGAAAACCCGGGAGTACCAGACAGCTGTTTTGTTCTAGTTTAGTAGTACCCACCCACACCGCAGGGTTCGAACCCAGAACCTTATGGTTATAAGGCGAGCTCGTAGACCATTGAGCCACTGAGATCCGATCCAATAGTAAAAATTGAAGTAATAAAGGGAGAGTATACAAATCGAATAGACAAAATGAAAAATAAATTGGTAGAGCCAAAATATGAATTGGGATTACCATACTTTAGCATAGAGGGATTAAGAAGGTTGGAGGAGCTGAACGAACTTTTTCTGTACACAGAGATCTGGCTTTTCTGTTTCGATAGCCAAAGATGACTTCAGCAATACAGATGAATCGGGTACGTAGGAATTTGGGTAGATGACCTTAAAGGCAAAGGGTGATCATTATCGAACAGATGTCCAATGATCGCGCTTCTTATTGCCCCAATTCCACCTTTTCGTAACCATGCAGGATAGTGTTCTTACACCCTCTTGGACAAAACTAGAGTCCAACGACTGATATATTCTATATATGACATTAATTGTTTTACCATTTGACAATATTTACTATGATTATAATCACAAATATTTTAATTACATTTCATACTACTATTATTATTATTATTATTTTATGCATTCACATCTATGTTTCAATCCGCTCACCGGATATAATTTCATGAAAACCATTTATATATACGATTGTACAGCTTGATAATAAATAAATAATAAAACATCCAGTGACCAGTCTTCATTTAATTTACTTGAATACAGAAAAAAGAAACCTTAATTTTTCTAATTTCCACTGCATAATCGACTAAGATATTTGGGAAAAATTAAATGTTGAACCAAATGAAGCAATATATATATATATAAGCAGTGACCTAAATAGATAATCAAAAATGCATGTATTGGCAAAACAACTGTTGACTTTTCACTGGATCTGTTATCAGTTGAAAGATAGATAACGATTATGGACTTCGGAGATACATCATAAAAGTCATCTGAGTGTATTTCTAGATGGTGATCAGTGTTTAGCTGTCCAATGCCTAGTAGAGACTGAGTGCTGAAAGCAATTCTATGATATTTAAACCAAATAACTTGATATTTTATTTCATTTCATCTGATGTTTAACAAATGAGGGCATATAAACTAATTGCAACATTTTACTGTATTTAGCGTATAATTAGTTTCCTGACCTGTGAGGTCATAAATGCTCAATTGTTTAAATGAATGCTGACGTTATTGCTGACGACTTGGTTATATAAAAATATAAGTTCAATTACTTGATGTGTTCATATTTATGACAACACCTTTTGAAGGGATACCTTTTTTGAGGTGATGTTTCTAGTGACTCATGAGTAAAGTTATAACGACAGAAGACAAGGGCCAAGCAACAGATCGTTTACTGAGGAAATTAAAAGATATTTGTATATTTTTATGTACATTATTATTAGCAGAGAAACAACGTCTTCTGATTGGTTGTTTTCTCCCGCTGAAAGTTATTTTGTCATCTCTTTGTGGCCGCTTCTTTGAAGGCAATTAAGAATGCTGCTCATTATTATCACCATCATTTATTTTATTCCTTTATGTTCTGAGCAGAAAATTAGACTGCGGGTTAGGACATTGAAGTCTGGTGGCAGTGCGTTGTTTTGTCTTTTTTTATGGGGTGAGTTGCTAGCCTCACGCCAAACTTTCCGCCTTTACTGGCCTTACAACTGACTTAGTGAGGTTTAGTAGTGCGTCGGTCGGAAATCTAACCGTGGACCATGTGAGATTTGGTTGGTTAGCGTTCTCATCGTTGAACCAAGGATACCCCCTACAGGTATTTCGCAACTGATTGTAGGGTCAACTACCTGCAGTTTTAAAAAGAAGTTCTAACCGGTAAGGTCCACCAAAGTGACTGTCAAGATAGATGCTCACTTGCATGATTCTACAAGAGTAGCATTACAGTGTTAATTTACATATGTTAGGATCCACTGACTGCTAAATGGTCAAAGCGTTCGTCTCCCAACTCAAAGGTCTTAATCTCAACTCCTGACTGATAGAATTCAGTCTGCACCAAAGAAAAGACTAGACACATCACACTAGTTACTACTTTCCAATCAAAGAAAAAGTTGGCATTCAACAATTGAATCTAGCCAATGTGAAATGCTTTAATTTCCTTAGAATTTCTATTACCATTATTCACGCCTTGTATTTCGAATGAAATATAGGGCCTCAAAAGCACATAAATGGAAGGAAACTGAAAGAAACAACCTCCTTCACCTACCTACCTACCTGGGAAGCACCGTTTCAACTACAGGCGAACAGAACTGACGAGGATATCAAAGCAAGAATCGGAAAAGCAAGACAGGCTTTCATTACTCTTAAGTCTGTGTGGAGGTCAACAGCACTCAGCATGAAGATGAAAATAAGATCCGGATTTTCAACTCCAATGTGAAGTCAATCAGTGCTACTCACTATACGGACCAGACACTTAACGCGTCAAAAAGAGCATCTCAAACATACTACAGACCTCCATCAACAGCTAGCTGTCTTTGCTCAATACCACTTAAGATCAGATGGCCGGCCAGAAAAGATCAGCAACAGGTTGGGATCTCTGGCAATGAGCGAACCAACCCAGCAGGAACCGATTGTGAAACAAATAGGCAGGAAGAAATGGAGATGGATTGGCTGGTCATAATCTGAGAAAACAAACCATCAAGTGACATCACTATACAATCCATTGGTCGAGTGGAACCCGAAAGCGAAGCGGCGAGTTGGTCGTCAGTGCAAGAGTGACTTGGATGAGGTGATGTGAAGAGAAGATGAAAACATGTGAACAGACTTGGAGTCAGGTGAAAACTCTAGCAGAGAATCGAACGCAGTAGAGACGCGCAGCTGAAGCCCTGTGTTCCTCTAGGAATTAAAGGAAATAATAATAATAAAAGCGTATAAACAATCTATTTGCTTCTCTGTAATAACTTCATACTACCTCCACGACTGCCGTTTGCCCTTGCACCGACACCAAATCTGTTGATTCCCATTCAGATTTCACTTGATGTTCTAAGTGGCATGTGACACTACTTAAATGTCTCCTCAGTGTGTGTATAATTCATGCCTATGTTTGTTCCGCCACGTTTGTTGAGCAATAGGCTTCTTTGCTGGTTAGCTTCATGCCAGAGTTTCTTGTTCTTTACTCCTTCCGGCGAAACACGTAATCTTCAGTTACCAGTAATGACATGTGTTGATCGAAATTCTCAGTCAGACATCTGGATATATGCTTTTAGTGATGCTTCAAGTGTTTAAACCATCAACTGAAATCAACTCTTCTATTGAAGCATATTTTTATCTATGTGTTAAACCATCATTCAATAAATAATTGCTGTTTTTTCTCCTTCATTTATCAACATCAATTATATAACTTATTTCTTAATTACACCTTTAAGTTTCGATATACAGCACACTGGAAGACTGGTGTACAAATGATCAACAGTTCAAATCGTATAGTAGTCAGATTTTTGTCAGTAAATCAACCGAATGAAGATTGTTTAATCAAGTTTGAATTTCGTGGACTTCCACGAACAAATGTTGAGTCAAATTTAATTGGCAATCAAAGTCAACAAAATGATACTATGCAAAATGCAGAACAAACTGAGAAAGAAGTAAATTATATTCCAGACAAATCTGGTATTTCTGAGGTAATATCCTCTAAAGATCATAAAGACAGGATGCATTATAAACGTAAACAAAAACATCATTGGCATAACTGGCCTATTTCAGAAAGTGATCTCTGGGAACTTATGTTACCTTTGTTAAAAGAGTTTGATGGAGTTCTGTTGGGATATAAAGGTAAGGATAATGTGATGCGAAAATTCTTAAGTGGTTTACACATTTTGCTTCATAGATCTAAGTAACATTCAGATGGATTTGGAATATTTCGTTTTTAGAAACGATTAGTTCCCATTATGAATTTAGACAAAGCAATAAGAAGACGTAATTTGTCTGAACCGTATAATGTATTTGCGTGCTCAACACATTTTGAACAATCTGGTCACACACACGGACTTGTTATAGTGATAAATACATAAATGAAATTACTGAAGAGTTGAGAGGTGAAAAAATAGACTTAGGTCAAGTCAAAAGGACAAAAGGACTAGTCCAAATAGCAAAGGTAACCGTACGTCTGTTATGGTATCAAAACAAAGTTTTCAAGGGTTGGTTTGTAAAGATTAGATTTGTTTTGACGAGTTTGATGCTTGCTAATGACTTGTTACAGGATGGAGTTTCCTGGAGTTCTAGTGAGAACTCACGACCAGTAAGGTCCAGCCAGTCAAATGTGAGGATGGATTTGCCACAGATGATATTGGTTGGTGGTTGCACTAAATCACGAATTGATAGAAGTTAAAATTCCTGGACTGGCCGATGAATGGTTTACCAGCTTGCCTTGTAGCTAAAATGTTTTCGGTTCAAACCCTTCTGGGGGTGTTCGTACTACCGATAACTCGCAAACTAGGATGAAACAGCTGTCCAGTACTCCCGGCTGCTTTTGAATGGTTCTCTAACTGATATCAATCCGTGGTCAAACTCGTAAAAACAAAGTTTACCAAGGAAAGTTTAGTGTGATGACCAATTGTTTTCGAACGCATAAGGGTGGTTTAAACTTCGTAATTACCAGCTGGGGCTTCTATATACTTTAGGATAAGCCCTAGACAGGTTCTAAAGATAAAGATTTCAAAGAGGCGTAAACATGAATTTTATGTCCTGTCTCTATGTTTCGCAATAGAGCAATTAAGTCTCCTGTTTTCACCACTAATGGGTTCTGAGGATTATATTTGCTTCTGAAGCCATTTAGGAATATACTCTGAAGTCAGCCCTTATCTGCAGTGATCGATGAGTTCTTCGTATGTATATGTGGCCACACGTATATTCAAATAGGTAAATACGGTAGGATGTGACAGCATTTTTCGCGTGTTCTAAGGCCTAACCAGGATAGATGTCCTAACACTTCTCTTATTTGGTTTAGCGATCTCCATTGTTACTTTGACCTTTAGTATGTCACTTTAACTCGTGGTAGAATTAATACAATTATAAATTTCTCGATATGATAATAATATTGAAATACAAAGAAACTTCGTAAAAAGCACACATAAATGAATGCAATATATGTCAACCGTATAGGACCAAACAAAAGGTTTTAATATATCTGTCCTAAAGAAACATTATTTATTCGATTTGATCGCTTATCTTCGCCATATCTCAAAAAGCTACGTAGAGATAAAGAACTGTTGTTCAAAACAAATGATAAGCCTGGTGTAAAAAAGTTAAACATTCTGATAAAACTGGAAATGAAAAGACTAAATGTTTTATATAATCAAAGATTTTTGTCATGTAAAACCCCTTCTAATTTATGGAAACTTTTCAAAGAAATTACTAACGGTAAGCGATGTATTTCTGTTCCATCTCTTAATGTTGACACTCTTAATAAATCTTTCATACGCTCTTCTGTTGATACCCTTCCAAATGATACAAATCATATTGACAATAACTTTAGTGGTTTTAATACCCTTGATGTGCTTAAATGTCTCCGGTCTCTTAAGCCTTCTCAAAGCCTTGGTCCTGACGGCATACCTGCCATTGTCCTCAGGAATTGTGCTGATATTTTGTGTTATCCTCTTACTAACATTTTTAATGCTTCTTTTTCCGGTAACGTTCTACCTTTTGCATGGAAAAACATTAAAATTATCCCTATACCAAAACCATCTTCTGGTTCTGATATTAAATTTCGGCCTATTGCAATTACTTCCCCCTTTTTAAAATTGATGGAAAAATTACTTTTACTTCGTCTTGAACCCGCTTTGAAACCTTTTAATGATCCTAAACAATTTGCATACAAACATGGTAGAAGTACCTTGGATGCTGCGGTTGTCTTATATCACAATGTTGTCTCTTGTTTAGACAAAGGTGCTAAATATGTTCGTAGTGCTTTCTTAGACTACACATCTGCTTTTGACTCTGTACCTAGGGGCCTTTTGTTAAATAAGCTATCGTTGACACAAACAGGATCCTGGGCTAAGAGTTGGTTGCATTCCTATTTTTCTGATAGAATGCAGTATACTGTATATAACGGCAAATCTTCTTCTACCTCGCTTACAAAATCCGGTGTTCCACAAGGTGCTGTCCTCTCTCCTTTTCTTTTTTCTTTCTTCCTACATGACCTGCCTCATTCAAACGAAACTAACTTTGTCAAATATGCAGATGATCTGACTGTATCACTGCCTATCACTTCCGAGTCTGACAGCTCCAAACTTAATAGCTTTCTGTTGGACATCAACAACTGGTCCAAGTCAAATGGTCTTATATTAAATCCTTCCAAATGTCAGGCACTTGACTTTACTTTCAAGCATCGACGTGACTTACTTGAACTAGTTAACTCGCATGATCCCTGTAGCATAGATGGCACGGAAATTGAAACCAAATCAAGCATTAAATACCTTGGATTAGTTTTTCCTCTGACCTTTCATGGTCATCCACATCTTATCTATCTCTAAGAAAATGTTTCGTCTTACCTTCTACATTAAAAAGTTAAGACAATCAGGTATCAACCAACCTTTAGTTTTGCAATTTTTAAACTCCTGTATTTTACCTATTGTACTCTATTGCTCTCCATTAATCTTTCCTGGGCTTCTCAAAAAAGATTATATCATATTACGAAGAGTATTAAATGCTGTGAGTAGAGCTTGTGGTCTGCCACTGCATGAGCTCGCTAATACTATAGTCGAGAGGCATATAAATTCCTGTACGAAATGGGCAAAGGCTATAATGTCAGACCCTCTGCACCCCCTTTATTCACACCTGTCCCCTTGTATCTCATCAGGTAGGACGAGAAGTCAATATAAAAAGTTATATGCTCGTACCACTAAGTATAGAAATTCTACAATACCCTATTTAGCCCGTACTTTATGTGACGAAGACTCTGTTAGACGTGAAACTTACAAGTTACTATGTAATTAGCACAGTGAATCGACCCTTTCATCGTTCATCTTTCTGTATTTTATGGTGTCACACTTTCTATCGTTTAATCGTTACTCTGCTATTTTATTTTAGTTGGTATTACTATTATTACTACAATTTTGTACTTTATGCATATTTTTCTCCGTATGGCATACAGTATTTTGCTACGTAGCTGCTACAACAATCGTTTTATTACTATTATGTAATGTGTATTTTTAATTTTTTTTGTCGTTTTTGAGTAAATTAGATGCAATATTGTACTGAATGCTGAAAATTCCTTGCTGTATCATTAGTACTGTTTTTGGAATAAAGCAAAAATTATTATATTATTATTATTAGATACTTCTTACACTTAATCCCCTTTATGAATTTGAATAAAGCACGAACAACATAGTTATTTGTGCAAAAGAATATGGTACCATCATTTGTTTCGTCGGCTTCTCACTAGCTGCTTACAGCCTAAATAAATTATCATTATTACTATCAACTGCATACACAGAAAGGTTTTAACAAACCTACAAATTTTACATGATGTCAGTTGACAGGAGGTTCCGAACTCAGTGAACAGTGCTCAGAAAATTACGCTTATATAGTTTTTTACACATGCAGTTCAAGTTTAAGCAAAATAAATGTATGCATACAACGGTGAAGGAGTTACGTGTTAGAGGCGAGAGGTGGGTAAGATGCTGAGTGACTAATAAATTAGGTAACAATTTACTGAGTTCAACTGAAATCACAGAAATGAGAGACAAGCAGAATTACACTTTATCAAGAGGGTGAGGTTAAAACCAAGGATTACGTAATAAAATGAAGGAGAGAATAAAGACTTGCAGTTACCAAGTTGATTAGGAAAGACTGATAACCGCTTCTTTCTGAACACATGCATCTAGTTTCAAGCGTTTGATAGAGATTGCTTCGACAAACTTAAGGAGAATTGAACTCTTTTGCCTAGTGATAATTTCAAATGATTTTTCGACATCCACCTCATGATCGGTGGGTGTCAAGGAGATGTCTGTCGATGGCACTGTTGTGAGAATTTGTTCCTTCGAGAAGTTGTCTTTTTGGAACTTGTTCAGAAAATCGGAGGTGTCCGCTTCTTTCTTTTTTTTCAATGTTACTGCTCCTGCAGATACATGTAAATCTGTATACATAGCTTAAGACAAGATGAGAAGCGTAATTTCCTAAGCACTGTCCACTAAGTTCGGAACCTCTTGTCAACTGACATCATGTAAAATTTGCAGGTTTGTTCAAACCTTTCTGTACATGAACTTAATAGTAAAAATGATAATTTATTTAGGCTGTGAGAAGCTGATGAGAAGCCAACGAAATAAATGATGGTACTATATTATTCTACGCAAACCACTGTTGTTTCTGCTTTATTCGAATATTATTATATAGTTTGAACATTTCTCGCCAGGATTAATACTCAACTATAATTGCCAACGTACATTTAACCTAAGGAAACTAAAAGTATATCAGATAAAATTATGATGTCATAATATTATTAATAATGCAAAAAAACGTTGTAAAGAAAAGAGGCAGGAGGAAGAACGTTGCCAAGGTAAATAAAATAAGAGTGTGCTACCACAGATTTGGCTTCCTGAATCTGATTGTGCAGGCTTCATCGAAGACCAAGAACTTTAATTTATTGTCTCGTTTATTATTAACTATAAAGCTTTTACCCAACATCGGAAATACATAAAATTTTAAGTCGAAATTAACACGGATAAACACCTCCTGTGATCATGTCAAATTAAAAGGAAGCATTGTTTGGTAGAAAAATGAATCACTGTAACTCTAAGTAGACAACATTTCTCAAGATATTAAATATCCCCCTTGAGGAAAGTTTATTTCCAGTTAAACCGTAACTAGGAAGATCATGTTTGAATTGCAATTATTACACTACTTATATCCTTTTGCAAATAGTATGCAACGAATTGAAGATATTTCTGAGGCGCAACTGCCAAGTTTTTTTTATCAATAACACTTATTCGATCCATGCGCCTGTATTAGATAAATTCATTGCTTATATGTATGGATTTATAAAAAATGTCAATAAATACAAGTACAGATGGATATTTGATTGTTAGATGTATTATAAAATTGAAGTAATTTTGTTCGATGGTGACTAACAGTTGGTTCCAGAATGAGAATTTCGTCCTCTTCGAGACGCGTCAAAGAATGTACCTGAATCGTCTCAAAGGCCATAGCGTCCCCTATACACTAGATCCCTCGGGCTAAATTCGAAAGACACCATCAGTCACTCCCTGTGAATGCAGGTACATTCAGTTGACAAGTCCCAAAAAGGATGAAATATGTATCCTGTATTCCAGTGCTAGTCACCATCCACTAAAATTACTTTAGGTTAATCCTCAGACATCACTGAAACATCTATACAAGGAGGCGACACGTCAACAGAGACCTACCATTTCGGTGTAATCAATCAAATAAAACATCAAAATTGGAATAATAACAATTAGTATTGTAAAATCATAAGGGATATGATTTAAAGCTCAAGTGGACGTTCACGCTGCAGTTGCGTCCAACATGCTGGATAGTTTAATTATGGGGCTCTCATTTTTTCTGAAGTAAGACTCTTCAACAGTAACGCTGATAAGAAGTGAGTATTTATAATTCTACATGAGTGTAACAAACCGTCTCTACTGATAACCTTAAAGGTATCTAGTGGTTACCTAAGATTTTCTTCTGATTTTTTTCTTTTCAATTTATACCCTGTCAACAAATGTGGGTAGAGTAGAATAATACTCAAGAAGGCTTCGTGTGCTTTTGCAATCTACGAATGTTTGGCATGCGATTCGCTCCCGCCAAATGCAAGATGATGAAGCCACAGGCCTGGACCACACTGACTCCTAGTTTAGAAATAGGGAGTGAAGTGTTAGAGCACGTTGACCGCTTCACTTATTTGGGAAGTACCATTAGCCAGTGCCAACGGGTTGATCTCTGACAAAATCTCACTATGGATATAGAGGGCTAGTTTCGCATATGCCAGTTTACGCCGTCTCTGGGCGTGTACTGCTCATCAGTCCTCTCTGTCCTCCTTTATGGCTGAGAGACCTGGCCATTGAGAGTGGAAGACATGAAAAGATTAGCTGTCTTCGATCATAGGTGGCTGCGCTCTATCTTCCGTGTGAAGTGGTTTAATAAGGTGAGTAATATTGAAGTTAGACGTCGAGTGCTAGGTAAGGAGGGAGCGGAGATCGATCGACGAGGCTGTAAAACTACATCGACTGAGATGGTTAGGGTACGTGTAACATATACCTAGTCATCGCCTTCCTCGAAAATGGGCAATGTTAGCTGACATAAGGTCAGGCTGGAAAAGAGCTAGAGGCAATCAAACCAAAACATGGCACCAGTCAATGAAATCCACAACAGTTAGTTTAAGCCAGCCAGCCAGCCAGTCACATAGGAAGGTGTAGACTTCCTGACTGGTTGGGGTCCTCTGGACGGTAAAAACCAATGGTTGGAAACAATTGGTGATATGGCTCAAAGTTATCGTTCTCAATGACTGGCGCAGATGCATCCACTCCTTGTGACTGATGATTTCCAATGAAACTGTTTCATTTTTCGTAATTGTTATTCTATTTGTCTGATATCTCTGTTTACTGTCTCTATTATGCATTTCTTCTACTTTCTTCTCTTTCTTTGTGTGCTACAAAGAGGGAGTGTGGCGACTTGAACTGGTGCACATCTGTGTAAAGTTCTATGTCGAAAACAGACAGACACACAGACGGCAACCAAAAGACTTGAATGGAAAGGCAGACAAAACCACCATCATGTCAGATTGCAGTGTTAAAGTGGATGGCCTCTTCATCGTCTTATCCGAGAACATTAAATAACGACATGATAATTTTTCCTTCATATAAATGCATGAGGACGACTATGGACACTAATTCGACTTGAAAAAATATAGAAATCTTAGATCATCAAGAGAAATGGTTATTACACTCATAAAGGATATTTAAGTGTTTACTTCACACTGAAGTTACTGATGAAGACACCATGAAAGTTTCACAATTAAACCATCTAGCTCATAGAACACAAATAACCTATTGAGTTGGTTTGATGGAAATGATAAAAAAAACTTTTTCTGACAATAATAGTATTGAAATGTAGATGCCTACATATATTTAATGCATAATATCTGTTGAGAGTTTCCCATTTATATTTTTTAGGTCTATGCTACAAACGTGTTATGGAATGCCCAAAATGCAATGAACTGACTTTTTCAGGTGAATGGTTAACACCTCAAGAAGCACAAACAGTGAATTATCGTAAATGTCCAGCATGTGCTCATAGGATACCAAGTTGTCTTGTTGCTCCACCAGAAAGTGGATTAGAATGTGAGTTTTCTATTTCATTCCACTGTGCCCGCCACCACCATTCGCATATATATATATTTAATTGTTGTTTTTCAGTCAGTCTAAGCTTGAGTTATTTATTCTTTCTTACAGTTGTCAATGTGAACTCTTCATGTATTGTTTCTTGAAATTTTTTGAAATTTTTTCCACTGAATCTAATGCATACACTATCTTTAATGAAAACAATATTACTACAAGTTATTTGAAATATAATCAAATGAAGTAAAGAAGCAACATATTATATTTTCATGTGTTGGTTTGTAGGGATTTGATCGGTTATAGGTTCAATCATGAGTTGACATCGGTTAGAGAACGATTGGAAAACCAGCCGTTTTGCCCTAGTTCGGGACTCTTCGTCAGTACCGACTCACTGAAATCAGGTCGAACCCAGGACATTCCGGAGAGCTTGTAGATCATTCAGTCTCTACAACCCGATCTACTGACCCGCCGATGAATTCTTGCTTCTGCTAATTCACGATATGTATAGCGCAAATGTCATCCAATGTTATGGCCTAGTAACTGTTCTCCTACGTGACTTGGTGGATATTTATTTTTATTTTTTTATATTTTTGTTTACAGCTTGATTCCACACTGTATTTTTGGTACAAGTATGGAATTTTCAGTTTGGATATCGGTAGCTCAAATTTTGCAGGCCGACCATAGATATCGGGTATGCGCCGGCAGAGGATTGAACCTCGGACCATGCGCATGGTCGGCGAGAGTCCTAACCACTGTGCCTCCGACGCACAGTTCGGTTACGACTTCCAGTACTCACAAGTTTTTCAGTGGTTCTCTAGCATTGCATTTTATCATTTTAAATCTAAAAGTAAAACAATTTTTTAGAGTTATTCCTAGGAATAGTCTAGTGAGAATTATGAGCAGTACCATCATAAGTAAAAAAAAATGAAGTTACGCGAGGTAGTTCAAATTTCATAACATAAATGTGAACACTTGAATATATAGCTACTGTAGACACTGTATTTATAATTTTGAAACTACGTTTGACATCTTGTGAAGCAGAAACACATGAGATTTTCTGTTACTAGGTGTTTGGAGGTAATCACCAGGAAGCACCTAAGTTTCATGCTTCTTCGTACTTACCACTCAGCTGGCATATCTAACTTCTTGAAGGAACTCACGTCCCTCCTAAGATTCGAACCCGTTTCACTCATTGATGTAGTCATTGGTCTATTTAGCCTGGTGACTGACCTTCTATGGTAATGTCTATGACAACAGCGATGAGTGATACGGTTTCGAATCTCAGGAGGGACATGAGTTCCTTCAAAGTTGCAGATACGCCTTGCTGACTTGGAAGTGGCAACAAGGCAGGTCATCCCAGTGATTGCCTCCAACCGCCGTGATGGACAGCCACCTAGAATGATGGCCACATTGCAAACTTAACTGACAGATTTGAGTCTTCATCAAACAAAGGACTAGCCACACGATACTAGTTACTAACTAGTGTCCGATTAAAATACGGGATTTTCATCAGATTAGATGTATATTTTTTTAGCATAATTGTACTAGTTATCTTCAGTGACTGAAAGAAAATCGAATGAATAGTGCAATAGTGAAATATTCGCCTTATATGTCGTTTGGCTTAACTGATAGAACGTCGGATTATCAATTCCGGAAGCCCCTGGTTTGAATCTTGTAACGGCCATTGATACCAATCAGCTTAGAGTCAGTATCCATTACATTTATAATAATCTATCAGCTAAAGTTCATCTCACCTAAGCTCAGCATTTACAAATTAAGGTTAATAATCTGAAATAAATCTAGATATTCAAGTGTCGGTTTGTAGGGATTGGATTAGGATCATCATCATGAGCTGACACTGGTTACAGAAGCACTGGAAACCTTGGGAGTACTGGACAACTGTTTCGTCCTAGTTTTGGACTCTTCACAGGACGCACCCACTGCCACGGTCAGAACCCAGGACCTTCTGGCTACGAGGTGAGCTTCTAGATCTCTAAGACCACGCACCCACTGAGATTCGAACCCAAGACCTTTCAGTTAAAAATCAAGTTCTTATATGACACTGGTTGGTGGTAACGCTAATTCACAAATTGGTAAAAGTTAGAATTCATGGGTCATTGAATTGGGTTCTAGTGACTGGATGGTATATTAGCTTGCCTTGTAATCGGAAGGTCCTGGGTTCGAACGCTGGTGGTGGGTTGGTACTGCCTGTGATTCCCAAACTGGAATGAAATAGCTGTCCAATACTTCCAGCTGGTTTTGAATGGTTCTTTAACTGATATCAGTGCGTGATCAACTCGTAAAAAAAGCAGAACTATGCTCAGGTGACCACCTGTAAAATCCCACAATACCATTTTTAACAAGCGCACATTCTATGTGATGAGGAGAATGTAAGGCAGGACACTACTAGCCTACTCAGGAACACTAAGCAAAAACGGCCCTTTTTATTCTTTCTTTCATTATTTTATATTGTTGTGAATATTTTCACTTAATCTAATTTTTTTATATTCACATTCTTATGGAATAATATTATCAATGTGTAAATGTCCTGTTTATTGATTACTCCTGTAGTGAGAAAATTAGATGTAATTCTGTTGTACTCACATACTGATAAATCCACATTTGTAGCAAAAAAGGAATGCCTTTTGGAATAGAGCTATTATTATTATTATTATTACTATCACTTTTCACACGTAAATAATCCTTCAGTGAATATTAAAACATACATTTTATACAAGTCATTTAGTTCTCTTATTCACAATTTTTTAATAGAGCAAGAACAACACAGTTATTTGTGCAAAAGAATATGGTACCATCATTTATTTCGTCGGCTTCTCACTAGCTGCTTACAGCCTAAATAAATTATCATTATTACTATCAACTGCATATACAGAAAGGTTTTAACAAACCTACAAATTTTACATGATGTCAGTTGACAGGAGGTTCCGAACTCAGTGAACAGTGCTCAGAAAATTACGCTTATATAGTTTTTTACACATGCAGTTCAAGTTTAAGCAAAATAAATGTATGCATACAACGGTGAAGGAGTTACGTGTTAGAGGCGAGAGGTGGGTAAGATGCTGAGTGACTAATAAATTAGGTAACAATTTACTGAGTTCAACTGAAATCACAGAAACGAGAGACAAGCAGAATTACACTGTATCAAGAGGGTGAGGTTAAAACCAAGGATTACGTAATAAAATGAAGGAGAGAATAAAGACTTGCAGTTACCAAGTTGATTAGGAAAAACTGATAACCGCTTCTTTCTGAACACATGCATCTAGTTTCAAGCGTTTGATAGAGATTGCTTCGACAAACTTAAGGAGAATTGAACTCTTTTGCCTAGTGATAATTTCAAATGATTTTTCGACATCCACCTCATGATCGGTGGGTGTCAAGGAGATGCCTGTCGATGGCACTGTTGTGAGAATTTGTTCCTTCGAGAAGTTGTCTTTTTGGAACTTGTTCAGAAAATCGGAGGTGTGCCCTTCTTTGTTTTTTTTTCAATGTAACTGCTTCCGCAGATAGATGTAAATCTGTATACATCAGAAGGGTATCTGTCGACTTTCGGCTTCACCAAAGAGCATGTTTTTCGATGGACGGAAACCAACTTGGCTGCAGGATAGGCTCACACAGAAAAATCACAGCTGAAAGAAACCTGTCTTCATTCAACTAGATTTTAAAGGTGAAAAGATTACAGCAATGGTCAATAGAAGACTGAGTACGTCACTAGCCATAGCCTATCCTGCAGCTTATAACATTACTATATTATACTGCACAAAGCACTGTTGTGCCTGCTTTATTCAAATTTATTACGGGGAATAAATACATGGAGTTTCACAATTTTTGTTTTCCTTTTCCAGATAAGCGTAAATCAAAGTCAAAAAGAAAGAATAAAAAGCATCAGAAATCACGAAAATAATCCATGCGTGATTTTTTCTTGTTCTTGTGTTTTTACTTGCTCAAATATATTTCTACTTTTGTACAGAATATATTATCACTTAAACTACTGAATTCAATGAAATAAAGTAGTATTTTGGTGAATTTATTTTTGTTTTTGTATAGCCGATATTGTTAAGTGTTAAAACGTTGTGTGAATAGCACTGAACGATATTTACACAACACTAATTTATGAAATTGATACTATATCGGTAACAGGAACTTCCAGCTGGATTGGAGGAACATTGAACCAGTGATTTGATGGTCACTAGTCTAAATCTTGTCAGGTTCTAAAATCATCTGTCTGTCCATCTAACATTAGGTATGTCGATCAAATGTTATGATCAAGAGATTCTTTTTTAATCTTGTCATTAAAATGCCTGAACGCTGTCGCACTGTCAAACGTAGATAACTTAAGCATTACTATATGAAGAACTTCATCAACAGCTGTCTTAGCTTAATACTCAACATCGGATGGCCGCCAGAAAAGATCAGCAACAGGGATCTCTGACAATCAGCAAACAAACCCAGCAGGAACCGATTGTGAAACAAATATGCAGGAAGAATGGAGGTGGATTGGCCATACTCTGAGAAAACAAAGCATCAAGTGACATCCTACACACGCCAGGCCATCACTCGAGTGGAAGCCGAATGGGAAACGGCGAGTTGGTCGTCAGTGCGAGGGTGACATGGAGGAGGTCATGTTTAGAGGAGATGAAAGCATATGGGCAGACGTGGAACCAGGTGAAAACGTTGGTGGAGAACCAAACGCAATGGAGACGTGCAGCTGAAGCCCTATGTTCCCTAGGAACTCAAGGAAATAATAATAATAATATGAAGACTAACACTAAAAAGAAATTAAACCTCAACTAGAAATCATTTCAGCATACGAAACTATTAGACATTTAGCTGAGTGCTTTATGGAGAGTCTTAAGGAGACCATCGGTGATCCTTTGATCCGTCAACTGCACCACTACAAGAGACACGTAGATGATACTTTTATAATCTCCAGACACACCTATCAAAAAGGTTCATCCAAGAACGTGAATTAAACGTGACATTCCCATTCCTGGATGTAATACCTACTAGACTGCTAAATCCAAAGATCAGTATGACGCAAACCAGCATGGACTGAAAAGTTTATCAAGTTCTAGTGCTTCGTCTCACTAATCTGAAAGTTAAACTTAGTACGTAACTTGTACTGGAGGATTCGAGAAATCTGTTAGGAGATGCGTTAGGAAATGCATTAAAATCAGTACGTGAAACCCTAATATAGAACTGGAATCCACCCAGATTTGCCCATAAAAACATGGGAGAAGAAAACCCACCTCTGAAAGTCTCAACTATTGATAAGAAAACTCTCTTCACTAACCTAAAATTCAGAGGTGACACCGAAGCGGAAATTCTCAGAAACCGCCTCTCTGAATTTCTAAAGAAGACATTTCAAGCAACCATCTTACGTATCACATTCTTAAGCAGACAGTTAATCCAGTCAAAGGTTAAGGATAAGAGGTTTCAGATATGCCTTGCTGACTGGTGAGTCCAAAAGAGCACGAAACAGGGTATCCTGGTGATTGCTTCTAACAATCTATTACGTGTAGATTTAAACAGCACGTGAATACGAGACACAGAATATAGGGATACGAATAAATAAAATTCAGTAGAAAAGAGTATATGAACACAGCACATACACCAGATAGTGTTTAACTATAGAAAATGATTACCACACACCAAATAAAGTATAAATATTTGAGTTAAACATAAATATCAAACAAAGTCATTGTTAAGATGTGGCAAATATATTCACACTACTTACTAGTGAAAAGTAGTACATATTTTTTACCACAAAAGAAAGAATAGTGAAGTACAGATAGGAAAGGAATGGAAAGTGCACAATCAACCACCCATGCCATGTAACACACTGTCGTGTTAAGCTCGGCTGTTTATGCACACAATGAGGCTAGCTAAACAGATATCCCTGCTCTACATTTCTGGTCCTGAAATATATTTCTTATGCTGAACGATCAATTTGTTATTCTGATTTAGCACAGGAACAATCGACTGGTCTGAGTGGAACTTGCACTATGGGAGTTGGAAGACACACACATGCATTTGGATACGGCGCATCTTTTGCTTCCCTCATCTACATGCTCCATCTTCTGAATGGTTCACAATCACTCTTAAATCTTTATACTCGGTAACTATAAATGGAGAAAGCCAGTTAGCTAAGTAGTTAGAGATGTTATTATGAGAAACACCCAAAGTCACACACTTTTGTTTTTATTTAATTTCAAAGGACCGATGGTTACAATCATCAACCTACTAGATCTGGATCTTCCTGCAAATCAAATAGATCACTAATATTGCCCGGAACTCTAAATAGCAAATTATCGTTGAAACCATTAAAAAGAAAGGTGTTAATGTCCATAGGATCTCACTTACACAAAATAAAAGGAGTTGAACTGGAATTATTAATTGAAGTGCTCTACTCTTCGCCTTTAATACTCGTTTTTTGCCTCATATCCTTGAGGAATTGCTGAATACAGTCTCCTAATGCTTGATCATTCCCAAAAGTATCTAACGCCACATGAATAATATGAATGGGAAGGAATGATCGATAGCCTTGTAAAAAATTTATGAATATAATACTCTTTGGACTATTAGTATCTGTTGCATTTGACCCAAATTTTACATACCAAAGGAAGGTTGATCCAACAGTAACGACTTGAAATAAGACCATGTTGTGTCTTGGTCTTATTACTCTCAGCATTTTGATTTACAGCATCAGAAATATCTCTCTAGTAGTCTAATCACAATACTTGTAACGGAATAATTGGTTAAAAAATCTCTCATGAACGATCTGATAACAGTATTTATACTTATCTGGATGTTTCAAACGAATATCTGAGTGAGGGGCTTAAGATTATTAGAGAATTACTTGTGAAAATGGTGATACAGATAAGTTCATTGAGAAAAATATGAATTCAGCAACTAGGAGAGTCATTATGGGAACAGTTAAGAAAAAAACACTGTTGATAAAACTACAGTTCCTTGGTGGCAACACCAGAGAAATAATAACACAACACCTGTAGAATACAGTTAAAAGAACTTTCAATGCAGCAGAGGTACGTTGTCTCTTCACTACCAACCCTCTTCTACGTACGAAAAATAAGAATAAACTACCTAAATTTGCCTCCTCTATGTGTATCTACCAGTCTGACTTCAGTTGCGGAGCCAGCTACGTAGGACGTACAATTAAGCCGGTTCATCGTATTTCCGAACATCATCCAGCATGGTTAAGTAAGGGGCAAACAGGACCTATTGGTAGCTCTACTTTAGCACACCTTGTAGACAGTGAGCATAATGTTGAAATTTTTTTTATCGCATTCCCACTATTCTTAATTTTGTTTTGCGAGTTCGTCTTCTACATACAGCTGAAGCCATAGAAATCCACCTGAAGAAGCCAAACCTCTGTGTTCAGAAGAAATTTGTACATCCACTTTCCTTACCCTGGCCATCGTTACATGGATGTATAAACCGGACTACTTCACTCCTCTCCCCCTAAATCTCTAAAAATTATAATTGTCCAAATTATTTTATTCTTATGATTACTTCATCCTTAGTTACAAGTTATCATTGTCCAAGTCGCTTTATTTTCTTTGACAATCTGTTGCATAATCAACCTATGCACACGCTTGTTCCTTAATTACTCTTCATTTTTCCAAAATCATGCATTATGCACTCTGTGTTTTCAACCATTTCTACCTTTTAATTGTGTATTAATTTTCTTCATTAATCATCACCTCACTGACATGTTGATACTGTCTAATTATTGTTAACAAACATATCGCCTCTTGATTATGCATAAGATTCTATTTTGATAAATCACACAGTGTTGTACAGTAATATTAACTGATGACATTTCGAACACAAATTATTTCTCATAATCATATCATAATCAACTGTGCAACACTGTGTGATTTATTAAAATAAAATCTTATCCATAATGGAGTTACGCTGTACCACAGCGCCCAAGTTTTATACTTTTATCAATATCGCCACTTGATTGGTAAATTGTTGTGTGTTGCAATAAAAATGCTATATATAAAAATATATACTATATATATATATATACATATATATATATATACAAGAAGGAGATGGAGACTTCTTGGAATGACATCATATATTTGCAACGTTTAATGCTAACCATATTGGTCTTAGCGTGGAAACTATGACGTTTTCGATGAAAATATAGCTTTGTTCCAAAATTGTTGTTGTGTGTTTTTCATCAAAGCAACTAGACTTTAAGGAAGCAACAAATATGAACAAAGAGCAAGTTTTAGGTTTGATAAGCGTCCAGGTAGTCAAAATAAAATAGAGTATAATAATGCGTGAATCAAAAGATTATCGTTAGGTAGGTAAGTGATGTTTCAATGAGAAGTGAATTCAATGATCTGGTCGACAGAAAAGCAGTACTAACTGCAAGCAGTATAATATTATAAAAGGACTATGCACACTGATATCAAAATAAGTCGATGCCGTTTGATGTAGTAAGCAGTTACGTTCTTCCAAATTCCATGTGACAATGTAAATTCAAATAGTATCACATCTTAGGCTGATCAATTCTAAGTATGATGTCCATCAAAATGCAAGTAATCACTGCAAAATTCAGCTGCTTGTCTCATTCACCGCATGATTTCTTGGATATGTTATGAAAAATTTCACTCATCACGCATGCAAAGAAAAATGCTTCAGCTCCTTAGAACAGATACCTGACTTATGTATGTGGGCTTATTCTCTATCAAAAGCCCGAATCTTTTAGAATAACTGCTATATGGCAGCACATTTAAGGTAATTCCTTCTTCATTCACCGCTGTACGCTTCCTTTCAGAATAAATGGGGAAATACCACATTGCACTAATTGATGAAAAAATGAGGTGGAGATATGCTGGAGCTCCTCGTTTTTTGGACCAAAGATAGTCGTTTGTAGCCAAGAAAATTGCGATACCGCATGTGAGGAGGAATACTCAAAAGGTGACTGGAAGATGGAGCAGCGTGAGG